ATTAGTATTTATGCAGGGTTTTTTTTTTTTGAACCATGGTACCCTTTAGTGGGAAAAGCTATATAGAAATGATATACAATATGATGCATTTAAAATATTTACTTAAAAATATGCTGTTTTCTTTTTAACATGGGAACATTATTTTGGTGTGTGCATTATTACACAGAACCTGCATCAGGAGCTCAAGATGCTTAAGCATCGAGTTAATGAGCTGGAACAGGAGAAGATGCACTACGAGCAGAAGCTCAAGGTGACACAGGTACTGCCACACAAATGTGATTCATAAGTCTTTGTGTCCTCTATGTCCTCACTTATGAATCACAAAGGCCCACATTTTGGCCCAAAGTTGTTGTTCATAGACAATCTTCCAATGTAGCTAAATTCGTACTTTTGGCTTTTGTATGAATTTAGCTACATTGGAAGCTAAATTATAGTCGTTTTGGCTATATCATAATGAAGTGTTTCTTCTTTCTCAGGCAGAGATCATGAGTTTACAACAGCTGTTGAGCTGTAAGAACTCTGAGATAGAGAGTATACAGGCTCAGCTGCTCTCCAGAGCTCCACTGTCTGTAGACAGCGCAGAAAGAGGTACTGATTTTTCTCTCAGATCCATCTAAAGACGTGTCCTGATGCAGTTAAGACTAAGGTTAAGGGCAAATTAGATCTTTGTGATTTTCAAAAGCTGTGTCTAAATAGTTGTGTATGTTAATGCATGTTAATTAGTGATAGGCCGATATGTATCCATTTGAGATATTTGTCCCATAACTGTGTGAAGTAACAAAAGTATTAGTTCTGGGTTTTTTTGGGTTTTTTTTTTTTAATCAGTTGTTTGCCGACTAATGACAGGCAGTGAGAGAGTTCAGGGAATGCATACATTCCAAATGCATTCAGTTTTACATGCAGTCTCTGCATACGGATGTTGTTAGTTACATACAGTACTATGTGTAAATAGCAGTATGATAGCATGTCCGAAAATGCAGTATTCATAAAATAGCAAGTAAAACATACCTAAGCGGCCTATTGCTTCCATGAGGTTCTGAAAAGCGTGGCTGATGTTGTAAACTTTATAGAACATTCTGGTCGAGAAAGAAGTTCTGGTTATACTTTATTTTGATAGTCCACTTTAGACATTATACTAACTATAAGTAACTTTGTAACTACATGTCAACTACATGTCAACTAATTCTCATTAATTTGCAACTAAATGTCTACTAACTCTCAGAGTAGACTGTTAGGGTAGGTTTAGGGTTAGTAGAATAAGTTGACAAAGAAAGTGTTAGAAGATATTAAGCAGGCAGTCTACTAATACTCTACTAACTGCTAGTTGACATGTAGTTGCAAAGTTACTTGCTGTTAATAGAATGTCTAAAGTGGACTATCAAAATAAAGTGTTACCGAAGTTCTTCATCAAATGTGGTACATACTCAGTACACGATTTCAGGTGCATATAGTCATTATTCTTATTATTCCCTTTGACGCCGTTATAGTGGCACAGAAATTACACACTTAACCTTTAAATTTTATCTGCATTACACTGGCCATTAGCTTCCCTGCTCTTTAGATTTTGGTATTAGCCTTTGAAAAATACATATTGTTCAATTACTAATGTTAACAGCAGTTATTAGTAATTGTCTTATGTGTTTACTGTGTGTTGTGGTAGCTAACAATGGTTCTTTTTCCTTACTACCATTCACTCAACATTAGATGAGATATACAGAAGGAGACTCAACACCAAACGTAAGCATGTTTATATTACAAATCCTCACACAAATTGCTAGAAATATTAATGCAGAATTGATCTGTGCACATAAAACCCATTTCTGCATTTGATTGTGTAAGATCTCACTTGTCTCATTGTTTTATGTGACCCTATAAACTCATGTCTGTGTGAGCATCTTGTGAGCTGGTGACTTTAAAATGAAGTCATAACCATTTATTGCTCCACTTAGGTTTCCTTGGAAAAGTGAAAGATCAGTGTAATTCCTGTTGTCCATGTCTGTAAATTTTAATTATTTTCAGGGTAGTAGATCATACACATTTGTGAGGTTTATGAAATCCAGACTGTAGTTACTATACTTTGTAAACAATGTTGCAGATCTTGAATAGTTTTGTGCATGGCTTTACCATATTTCAAAGAGATATATAATTGTTTCTCTCTTTCATTTTTTTTTTCATCTTTGTCAACAGATCAGGAGCTACAAAGGTTAAATACAGGAATGGATACACTTATTGCCGCAAATCATGAAAAGGTAGGTGTATATAAATATATAAAAGGTCCATAGAAAAGGACCTATACATTGCCATTAAAGTGAAATTTCTGGACATAAACATAGGAGCCTGATAAAAATGCTAATTTTAGAATAAATTTTCAGATGGCACTTAGAGGCTTTTGCATCTGAACTAAACTAAATATATATATATATCTCCTCACCATGAGCAAGAGTCATTTTGAGCACACTGGGCCCTTTTTTCCTCACACTGCCCTGTGTTTATGGACTTAAGTGTGTAGAATGTCTGTGGAACTGAAGCCAGAACCAGTTTCCCCAGACATGTGACAAATACTTGGACTTACAGCTTACAGTGCCTGTGGCAGAGACTGACTTGTGTGCCATTTGATCTCAAAATGTATTATTCGGTTTCTCCTTTTTTTTTTCTTTTGTGGGTTATCAATATAATTTTTTCAGGATCGTCGAATAGAAGAGCTCACTCTCCTCCTCAGCCAGTTCAGACAGATGAATGACATATTGACTTTAGTTCAAGGTAAATTCTAAATTTTTTATTTTTTATTGCCTGTTTTATCAGGCAGGCAGAGGTCATATACCCATCAAAACCATTTTAAGAGAGCTCATTTATATTCAAAGTCAAGTGATAAATCTTTTGCTAGTCAGGTTTGAACAGATCATTAAATAAATAATGTTTTTTTTTGTTGGAAATGCCAATGGGATTAAATCAAAATTAAATTACTACATTATAATCAAATTAAATTGTACTTGTAGGGAGTTATGATAACATCAGGTGTTAAAATACCAAATTCCACGTAGCTGTAGCATAATGATATATGTATAACTGATATCTTCCACAGGCCCTGAAGACAAATCAGTACAGATTAGCAGCGAAGATGGAAAGCAGAAAGGGACTGTAAAGATTTTAACACACAAATCTCACTCTGAGGTGTGTGTGTGTGTGTGTGTGTGTGTGTGTGTGTGTGTGTGTGTGGGT